ACAGTTACATGTACTCCAAAAATAAACTACGATAAACATGCAGCCATAAACATATACTAATCTAGATAATTTATCCATGATTTTGGCTTATATTCACATATATATATAGATAGAGCTATGAACATATACATGTAGACAGAAGTAGAGATACAAATATCAATGATACCAATATATGCTACATAAAATTATAAACATCATCGCATAGGGTGCATGTTTGAAAGCTATTACATGTGTACTTAAACTTTCAAACCTGTGTTTTTTTGCACCATTCCGCCTCGGCCGGTGGCTTCCGCCCCCGGCCTCGGCGGAAACTAAACTCTCTGTCGTAGCACTCTTTTCATTTTATTGAACAGATCATTGGAATGATATCAATTGTTCTATGTTTGGAATATACTCAAACTTTTAAACCTATGTAGTCTTGCAAGTAGCCCCGTGTGGACGACAGCTGCTTTGAAATTCATACTTCTACTACCGAAACGCAAACAAAAAAGAACAACTATTAACCGACTATTTGATAAGAAAATTTGTCTTTTAAACAAAGAAAAGTCCGTACTATTTTTTTACCATTCCTCAACTTGGGTTTTAGGTTTTGTAAGCATTTGTTTCACTCACTCACTCACTCACTCATTCGCTCACTCGCTCACTCACTCACTCACTTTCATTCAACCATTCTTCTTCACTCCTTCTCACTCGCTGATTCTCATTCTCTCATGTTCACTCGCTCTTTCTCATCACGCGCTCCCGAACACTCACGCCCCCGCCAAAACAAAATAGATTTTTGAATCTTCATTTCTGTGTTTTCACGCGTCGCCGCAACAAATTTGATTCGGCAACTGTCGTTTTTGGGCTTCCAACCCCCGTCCGTCCGTTCGTCCGTCCTTCCGTCCTTCCGTCTCGTCCGTCCGTACGTCCGTACGTCCCCGTCCATCCGTCCCCGCCCGTCCGTCTGTCCGTCCGTCCCCGTCCCTTCTGTCCGTCAGTCCCCTTCCGTCCGTCCGTCCCCCTCCTCGTCCCTTCCGTCCGCTCCCTTCCCTCCGTTCCGTCCTTGTCCGTCCGCCCCTCCGTCCTCGTCCGTCCTCGTCCGTCCGTCCGCGTCCTCCGTCTGTCCTTGTCCGTCTGTCCGTCCCTGTCCGTCCGTCCGTCCCTGTCCGTCCGCCCGTGTCCGTCCGTCCGCCCGCGTCCGTCTGTCCGTGCGTGTCCGTCCGTCCGTCCGTCCGTCCATCCCTCCGTCCGTCCGTCCGTCCGTCCGTCCCTTCCGGCCGTTCCTGTGATTGTCCGTTCATCCATCCGTCTGTCCACGCGTTCAATCAAGCGGTTGGCGGCATTCAATTTGGCGTTTGCGGTCTCGACTTTGGGCTTTTGGTGATTAGGGGTATCGCGTTTGCCTTGTAATTGAACGAAATCACAAAAACAAATCTGTTTCTGGAATTGTCGTTTTTGTTTTCTTATCGCGGTCCGTCCGTCCGTCCGTCTCCGTCCGTGCGTCCACATCCATCCGTCCGGCCACGCCCGGTCCGTGCCGTTCGGGTCCGTCGAGTCCGTCCCGTCCCGCGCTGTCCCGACACCCGTCCGTCGGTGCGTCCGCATGTGCGTCCATCCGTCCGTCTGTCCGTCCGTCCATCCGAGCGGAAGCCAACGAGATTTGCGACAACGAACGCTTTAGGGCTAACGGCCGGAGCCCCTTGTTTAAACCATGAGGGTTGCCCAGGGCGCCAGCTGCGCTGGCGGACCCTAAACCCTAAACCCTAAACCCTAAACTCAGGGGGGGCAGGCCGGTGGGCCCTGACGGCCCACCGCTGCCACCTCCCCTGCCTTTTCGGCGTTTGAAGGCATCGCCACATGCAATATGCCTAAACAGCGCCTCTACTGTCCCACCAAGGTGTATGCCGTGCCACCGCTAAGCATTGGGATGTCGGCAGTACTGCCCTATAATATACTTTATACCCTAAACCCTGTGCCCCCCTCAAAAACCTGTACTCAAAATCCTAAAGCTTTAGTGTTTAGGAATAGCGTTGAGGGCCTAAATCCTAAAGCTTTAGTGTTTAGAACCATTTTTGGCAATGTAAGCTTTAGTGTTTAGGAATAGGGTTTAGCGCTAAATCCTAAAGCTTTAGTGTTTAGGAATAGGGTTTGGCGCTAAATCCTAAAGCTTTAGTGTTTAGGCATAGGGTTTAGCGCTAAATCCTAAAGGTTTAGTGTTTAGGAATAGGGTTTAGCGCTAAATCCTAAAGATTTAGTGTTTAGGAATAGGGTTTAGCGCTAAATCCTAAAGCTTTAGTGTTTAGGAATAGGGTTTAGCGCTAAATCCTAAAGCTTTAGTGTTTAGGAATAGGGTTTAGCGCTAAATACTAAAGCTTTAGTGTTTAGGAATAGGGTTTAGCGCTAAATCCTAAAGCTTTAGTGTTTAGGAATAGGGTTTAGCGCTAAATCCTAAAGCTTTAGTGTTTAGGAATAGGGTTTAGCGCTAAATCCTAAAGCTTTAGTGTTTAGGAATAGGGTTTAGCGCTAAATCCTAAAGCTTTAGTGTTTAGGGATAGGGTTTAGCGCTAAATCCTAAAGCTTTAGTGTTTAGGAATAGGGTTTAGCGCTAAATCCTAAAGCTTTAGTGTTTAGGAATAGGGTTTAGCGCTAAATCCTAAAGCTTTAGTGTTTAGGAATAGGGTTTAGCGCTAAATCCTAAAGCTTTAGTGTTTAGGAATAGGGTTTAGCGCTAAATCCTAAAGCTTTCGTGTTTAGGAATAGGGTTTAGCGCTAAATCCTAAAGCTTTAGTGTTTAGGAATAGGGTTTAGCGCTAAATCCTAAAGCTTTAGTGTTTAGGAATAGGGTTTAGCGCTAAATCCTAAAGCTTTAGTGTTTAGGAATAGGGTTTAGCGCTAAATCCTAAAGCTTTAGTGTTCAGGAATAGGGTTTGGCAGTTGATTTCTGGAAAATCGGAGGCAGATTGTGGAGTGCTAAATTCTGTTCATAAAATGTGCATTTTAATTAGGGCAGGGGCCGATCTTGGGGTTCCGCCCATTCTGGTGCCTAAATTCTAAAGAATTGCGCTAAATCCTAAAGCTTTAGTGTTTAGGAATAGGGTTTAGCGCTAAATCCTAAAGCTTTAGTGTTTAGGAATAGGGTTTAGCGCTAAATCCTAAAGCTTTAGTGTTTAGGAATAGGGTTTAGCGCTAAATCCTAAAGCTTTAGTGTTTAGGAATAGGGTTTAGCGCTAAATCCTAAAGCTTTAGTGTTTAGGAATAGGGTTTAGCGCTAAATCCTAAAGCTTTAGTGTTTAGGAATAGGGTTTAGCGCTAAATCCTAAAGCTTTAGTGTTTAGGAATAGGGTTTAGCGCTAAATCCTAAAGCTTTAGTGTTTAGGAATAGGGTTTAGCGCTAAATCCTAAAGCTTTAGTGTTTAGGAATAGGGTTTAGCGCTAAATCCTAAAGCTTTAGTGTTTAGGAATAGGGTTTAGCGCTAAATCCTAAAGCTTTAATGTTTAGGAATAAGGTTTAGCGCTAAATCCTAAAGCTTTAGTGTTTAGGAATAGGGTTTAGCGCTAAATCCTAAGGCTTTAGTGTTTAGGAATAGGGTTTAGCGTTAAATCCTAAAGATTAGTGTTTAGGAATAGGGTTTAGCGCTAAATCCTAAAGCTTTAGTGTTTTGGAATAGGGTTTAGCGCAAAATCCTAAAGCTTTAGTGTTTAGGAATAGGGTTTAGCGCTAAATCCTAAAGCTTTAGTGTTTAGGAATAGGTTTGGCGGCTGATTTCTGGAAAATCGGAGGCAGATTTTGGAGTGATAAATTCTGTTCATAAAATGTGCATTTTAATTAGGGCAGGGGCCGATCTTGGGGTTCCGCCCATTCTGGTGCCTAAATCCTAAAGAATTGCGCTAAATCCTAAAGCTTTAGTGTTTAGGAATAGGGTTTAGCGCTAAATCCTAAAGCTTAGTGTTTAGGAACAGGGTTAGCGCTAAATCCTAAAGCTTTAGTGTTTAATATAGGGTTTAGCGCTAAATCCTAAAGCTTTAGTGTTTAGGAATAGGGTTTAGCGCTAAATCCTAAAGCTTTAGTGTTTAGGAATAGGGTTTAGCGCTAAATCCTAAAGCTTTAGTGTTTAAGAATAGGGTTTAGCGCTAAATCCTAAAGCTTTAGTGTTTAGGAATAGGGTTTAGCGCTAAATCCTAAAGCTTTAGTGTTTAGGAATAGGGTTTGGCGGCTGATTTCTGGGAAATCGGAGGCAGATTTTGGAGTGATAAATTCTGTTTATAAAATGGGCATTTTAAATAGGGCAGGGACCGATCTTGGGGTTCCGCCCATTCTGGTGCCTAAATCCTAAAGAATTGCGCTAAATCCTAAAGCTTTAGTGTTTAGGAATAGGGTTTAGCGCTAAATCCTAAAGCTTTAGTGTTTAAGAATAAGGTTTAGCGCTAAATCCTAAAGCTTTGGTGTTTAGGAATAGGGTTTAGCGTTAAATCCTAGAGGTTTAGTGTTTAGGAATAGGGTTTGGCAGTTGATTTCTGGAAAATCGGAGGCAGATTTTGGAGTGATACATTTTGTTCTAGTATTTAGGAATATCCTCAACTTATCCATACTTTCATGAATATGTCGTGTTCAGGACTAACGCTTAAGACTTGAATATTCAAGAGTCTGAAGTCACGGCAAATGTGTTGCTTGCTTGCAAATACTGGGTGCATTTAGTTGTAACACACGGGAAGGACCGTGCATCGTTGCAGCTACGCTGTCGTGTGGGTTTGTGCATGGCTGCGGCCGTGCACGTCGTTCGTGGTGCTTGTAGTCGCTGGCACCTACCATGTCCCATGCGAAAGCAGACAAGGTCGCACTACCTCAGCTTCGTTTTTTCCAATGCTCAGCCACATGCTCAGGGACGTAGCCTCCGCAGCTACGGGGATTACATCCGCTCCGTTGCCGGCGGACTAACCTCGTCAACTCTATGCACCGCATCCTCTGATGATGATCGTTTCGGCACCCTTGCGGACTATATCATGATAGTTCATCATCATCAAATGCTTGCCGGCAGACAATGCCGTCTGTCGATAGAGCCCAGGAAGCGCCAGTCACGATCATACTGTACTCGTGAGATGGCGACATACAAAGCCGCGCGGACGAAGGGGACATCCATCCACAAGGTGATGTGCGGCAAAGTGGCACCTTGGATCTTGTGCAGCGTGGTGCTGTAGCCCAAACGAAGTGGGAAGGCTGTAGTCCTGCGATAAGATCCGTCAGGTAGGTAGTATTCGTGCGTGATCGGGTGCACCAGGAGAACCTTGCCTTCATCGGTCTTCACTTGGATGCCGTTTCGTCTCATGCGCTGAACGGTTGCACCCATGCCATTGACGAAGCCGTTCTCCTTGTCTGTATTCCTTGTAATCGTCACACGCATACCCTGATAGACCGGCATCCAAAAAGGTTGTGCATCCACCTGTGTAGCACCGTAGAAGTTCTCGAAATTTTCCTGTGGATCGCATGGTATGTGCGCAAGGACTTCATCGTTTTCGAAGAGAGCACGTAGAGCGAGTTGGTTGAGCCGGGCGGATCCTCGACGGGAGACGGTCACGAAGGTGGTCTTTGGGGTCTCCTTCAGAATGATGGCGATGTCTTCGGCATTGGGGACGTTGCCGACGCCAGGTCGATTTCGAAGATTTGCTCGGTGGCCTTTCAATATCTTTTTCAACTGTTTGCCGCTGGGTATCGCACTTCGCAGCAGTTGAAGTTTCCATTTCAACCGCTCGCACTTGCAGCGACGCATCTCGTGGAGATTGAGGATGTGCATGTTCCGCCACCTGGGGCTGTCTCTCGCCGTGGTGCCGTCGGGTCCCAAGAGCTGGCAGAAATCGCCCACGAACACGAGGGCAGTCCGGCGGTCGGCGGCATCCCAGAGTCGCAGCAACCTTTCGAAGATCCATTCCGGCAGCTGTCCGACTTCGTCGATGACGAGCATGTCGTAGATCTTCATCATGTCGGCCGTCGCGAGCTCGTCTTTGTGCAGCGCGAACATGCCATGCACGGTGTCGATATCCAGGTCCGGGTGACGCGCTCTGTACCGGGTTGCCAACATGCCTGTCGGACACGCCACTCCGACGTGCGCGCCCGCTTTGACGGCCTGATCCAACGCGATCTCCACGGCGGTGGTCTTTCCGCTTCCGGCCGGTCCCAGTACCACCGTTGCGATGTTGACGGCCACGTCACGCTCCAGCCAACTGGCCCAGCCGTCCACTTCACGATCTTCTGGCCATTTTGCCTGCATCGCGTGTCGGACTCGGTTGCCGATGGTGGTTATCACGTTCGCCTGTTCCGGCGCCACTTCAATTGCTTCGCCAGACACCCGCGCTGCACCGTCCAATGGAGGGGCTGGGTTCCTGTCCACTGTCATTTCTCGGGATAGGTAGGCGTCAATCAGTTCGATCCTCGCAGTCAGCATAGCCAGCGTGTTCTTGATGTACGTGTCCGATCGCGCCTCTTTCTCCAGCTCGGAGCGGATGCTGTCTGGGTTTCGCCAGAAGCGACGTCGATGCAAGACACATAAGCCCAGGTATCGCAGATTTTCTGGTAGGAGCTCCGCCTGTGGGTGCCAGAGGTCGTCGATGTTGCGGAAGGGCACATTGAGCAGCAGCCACTGGCCGTAATGGCGATCATTGGTGTGAGAATACATGACGCTGGCGACGAGAGTCTGGCCGTCCGCCGGGTGAACATTGATCCAATCTTTGAGGGGCATGCCAATCTTGCGTGCACGGTGCACACGGCGATACTTTTGCGAGATTTGCCCGTCGGAACCCGACTTCCGCAGAAAGTCGAGGAGGCTCATGTTGTCCCTCCTCCAGGTGCTCGACATGTAGCTTTGCACAATCTGCGGCGGGTCTTTCTGCCAGGGAACTGGAACGACGAACTTGCGCACGTTTGCCGGACACACGAACTGTGGATGCTGCTGTGCCGCAAGCTGCATGATCATCTCCGGTTGGAGTGGATGGTAGTCCGCCAGAACTCGCCTAGCCAAAGTGAAATCAGTCGCCTCGTTGTTGAGCAGCTCTGCCGCAAAGGAGCTGCTGAACTTGGGCAGGTAGCCTGCGAGTGTGTCAGCTCGGCGACGTGATAGTATGTGGAATATGCAAGCGGCGATAAAAGAAATGTTTACGAAAGCTAGCTTGATCATATATTACAAGCAGACGAGCGACTTGCGCAGTATTTCAGCACCATGGCTCGTCCGTCCGATGCCAGCACATCCACATGGCAGCGAAGAGCAGCTAGTACGTCTGGGAGGTAAGCGCGACATCTTCTTTCGAAAGCATCCCGGGGGTGATGCAGTCGCAGTCGTTGCTCCTGCTCGATCACTTCTGTGGGTTCTTCACGAACGGGCCATCCGCTTGAAGTGTAATCCAGCTGCGAGCCCACCACGAGATCGCGCATCTCCTGCTCGCCCTGGCCGGGCACGTCGGCACGGATTTTAGTTGATAGGTCCATGGCCTGCATGTCCTTCAGCCAGAGAAGTATGTGGACATGGACGGCTCCTCGCCCGTGGTAGGACTGACCGTCTCGGAAGACGTTGCGTTTGCGCTTCCCATCTTGAAACTCCAGCCTGGCCACCCAGTGACGAACTTTCCCTGGTCCTTCTGCGGAACAGAAGACGTGCTCCCGTTTGGACTGTAGCCCTTCGTTGGCCCCTGTAAGAAGACCTTTTACTGCCTGGGTGAGAACATGCGCCAAATGCAATGTCTCCGCAACGGGCATGTCGAGCCTAGCACTCAGAGACTTCGTGAGCTCGTCTTGCAGCCACTGGTGGTAGGGGAACGACCATTCGTACGGGGCGATGGTGATGAAGAGGCTCGGCCACCCCACTTGCTTTTGCAGGTCCACCAAGGCCGTGTGGTAAGTGCGCCACATCTCCGGCGAGTACGGCTTTGTCGCTAAGGCTTCCCGCACGCTGCTGGTGCCAGCGCTGTTTTTCGCACCGCCGATGGTGGTGAAGAGCCACAAGTCATAGACGAAGTGGAGGAGCTGGGAATCGGAGCTGTAGCCGATCACCGCCGAGTGAGCTTTCGCCAGGTAGCTCGCCTTGGCACTTTGTCGCGATGCTTTGCCGGGTGCGGCTCCGAACGTGTCTTGGTCTTCGTCGCTGCATTCCATTTGCTGTCGATGACGGCGTTGCAGTCGTCGGGCATCTTGCGATCGCACGTAAGTCTCCGTCATTTCCGCGCACCAGTATAGATGTGGCCACAGGGCGCACTCCAGGCCGACCGTCTCGATGAAGTTTGTTGGCAAGCGCCTCGCCGGTGTGCCGGACCAGATCTCTCCGCGCTCCATTGCTCTCGCCCTCTTGCGAAGGCTGCGTTGGTGAAGCTGCCAGAATCGACCGTAGTACGAAGGGCAATCTTCGCGCAGCAGATATTCCAGCGCTTTCTGGCCGCGCTCGCGCTGCTTCTTTGGAAGCTTGGCGAGATTGTCCTCCACTGATGATGTTTTGAATGAGAACCGCATCATGTCGCTGTGTACCAGGTAGCCGCTTGGAGGTCGAAACACTCCGCCGGTGTGCATGTCGAAGGGTCTTAAAGCTTCGACTACTTGCGACGACAACTTGCGCAGGCGCCTCGGGATGTCCGCATGAGTTGGGGCCCAATACCCGGTGGACCCGCCAGACTTGCAATACCCGCAGGCAGGCAGCTCGGAAGATGCACTGGCTTTGCCGGCGGCATGCGTGGCACGGAATGGTTGGGGCACCATGCGGCCGCAGCCGCTGCACATACGCCACGAGTCATCGAGGCACCACTTCTCAAATGCCGCAGCACGAGGAGGCATCCAATGTGTCCCTTCTCGGGCACCGTCCCCGTAAACTGCTGGAAACTTGTTCCGCAAGCGCGTCTTGTACCTGTGTTGCTGGGCCTCGAAGGCGTGTCGAGCCGCGTGGGAAGCTTGCAATGCAGGCTGCCGGAATGCCAGCGAGCTCTTCCACTCACTGCGAGGCTTGGGTGCCCGCTTTTGACTGAAGCGCTCGGCCATCTGTGGGCCATGCATATCCCGAATGCGCTGCAGCGCTTGGTGATAGCGTCCGTCGTTGGCCTTGGCCAACCGAGCCAGCCATCTCTTGATCTGTTGTCCTTCTTTCTCCTTCAGGGCCGACTGGAAGGCTTCTGCGGAACAAAAGACGCAGTGCTCGAAGCTCACGCCATCTTTGACCCGAGTGTATGGCTTGCCACGAGTGCTTTGCTTGGCATTGGTGAGGCCGAAACGGCACTCTGGATTGTGACACTCCCTGCGGCCAGACTGAGGCTGAAGATCCACCCAAGTGCTTCTTGGCGCTTTGCCGTAGGGTAACGGCTCCTCGTAGACCTTCACATCTTCAAGTACCCAAGCATAAGTCTTGGCGTACTGCACGGCGGAGAGATCTTGGATTCCGTGAAGATGCACGTTGGCTTCGAGCTCTGCCCTTGTCAGTTTCATGCTCTTGGAGATCGTCATCTCGCCGACCAGCGTCCCTGACCCCGACTTGGCGATGCAAATCCTTTCCCCCAGATGCTTTACGCAATTCTGACCTCTGATCTCCCAGACTTTGCTGCCGTTCAATATCTCATCGCAGCAGTGCGGTTGGATAGTTAGAGCCCAACGTGGAGTCGGTGTTGTTTCGGGGACTGCGACTTGGGCGTCGTCCACCACGCTTGGTTCCGAGGGCTGCGCTGCATCGGCCTCTCTTCCAGCATACTCGTCGAGTAAACGGCTGCTGCTCGGCCAGCTCGTCGCTGCCAAAAATAGCCTCGATCTCCTGTAGACGCTGCTGGAAAACTTCCGGTCGATGGCAAGAGTCATGGTATAGACGGGCAGTGATCTCGAGCTGACCCGGATCTGGGGAGCACCTTGGCAGGAAGAGGCTGGATGCAAGCGCGACTCCATGCAGACGGTCGCAGTTGAGCTTCCGACTTGCTTGCGTAGATGTCTTCCACGCCCCTTGTTGTTTCAAGCACATCGGCTGTAGGCTGCCTAGCGCTGGCTTCTTGCTGAGTCTCGCGCCACGCAGACGTATCGGAGCCACTCTCTTCCTCCTGAGGTTCCAGAAGCTTAACTTAGAAACGGAGATGGTCAGGGAGCGGTCCCGCGGCCGCGGTCCTCTTGCGTCTCTGACATGTGCACATCGAACCTGACGCATCGATTGGATCGTCTTGCAATCGGTTGCTGCGCTGTCAGAGGGGATCGCTGCTTCTCGGGTCCAGGCGCATTCTCGCGGATGTCACCGTCTTCTGGACCTTCTGTCCTGTTCATTGCGAACCAGCTGCTCGTTCAGCTTTTGGTATTGTTATCTTTTCTGCACCTTTAGATTTTGAACAGACGGATGACAACCCGATCGACCTCCGAGACTTGCTTGCGCGGGTGTTTTCCACGCCCCTCATTGTTGCAAGCGTGTCTCAGGTCGGCTGCCAGGCTACCATATATGATCGTTTTCGCTGGGTCTCGCGCCATGCCAACATGTCGGAGCCAGTGTCCTCCTGTCGCTGCACCGAGAACGGACATGTTCGGCGGACTTGCCCGGCCGTCCTCGAGCATCTCTGACATGGCAACATCTGTCCTGGAAATGTCTTGACTCTGCTGGTATTCAAGGCTTGGCACCGCAATTAAGGATCAATCGACCTCTGAGGTCCGGGCCGGTTCTCCATGCTGAGTGTGCTACAGAGGATTTCGAATTTGGATGGTGATACGTGACTTGAGCCTCCAGCAAGACGTGCTGTCGAGTGCAACGCGCCATGGCACCGGCCGGGTACTAGGGACGATTGTGGCGTGCATAGACCGACGACGCTTCTTCGCTTTTTCCGAACAGACTTGCTGGGTGCAGCAGCTGCAGTGTGCGGACTGTACCTCGGAACGCGGCGAGAAACTCAACGGGGGCATGTGCGGCGGCCCGCGCCTGCTTCTACTACCACTACTACTACCACGACGACGACTACTATTACTTCTACTATTATTATTATTATTATTATTACTACTACTACTACTACTGTTATACTTACTACTAACTGTTAGCTTCATTGATTGAACAAAGCTAAGTAAGTATGTTTCATTGTTTTTCCGTTTCCTACCCGTGCTACAGCAACAACAACAACAGGTGCTGTCGCTACCGGTACTGGTTGGTTTTACGGAAGCACAAAAAAACAGCAAAATTACCCAGGCCTGGTTCCCCCCGAGCCGTCAGTGCCACCTGACGGTCCCGGGGGGATTCCTAACAGTCTCGGACCTTAGTGTGGAGAGCCTCACAAAGTACAAGGTGGCGAGTACTTGCCTTCGCGGGTCCTCCTCTACCTTAAAGGAACGTGCGAAATGGAGGCACGCCTTGCCCGGTACTTTGCCGTTTGCGTGCTGCGGCGCCGTTCTGGACGCGCGGGGTCCGCGCAGCCACGTTGCGTGCATCCACTCAAAACATAGGGAAACGCCTATCGTGGCGGCAAATGCACGCCCGGCCGTGCCCGAGGGCAAGCAAAGGCAACGCCAAAAATCCGACATTTTACGGTGGACGTTTTTTTTCAGATTTGCTACGAAACATAGGCATTTCGCTATACTTTGCACAACTGTGCAATCTCCTTTGCGTGGTCGTCGACGATTCGTCCGGGGGGGGTCTGGGGGTGTCCGGGGGGTGTCCGGGGGGGGTCCGGGGGGGCCCCCCGGCCACTTGCGTACATCTTGTCCGGGGGTGTCCGGGGGCGCCCCCCGGTCCGGGGGGGTCCGGGGGGGTCCGGGGGGGTCCCGAGGATCCGGGGGGGCCCCCCGGACGGACCGTAATTAGAGTACATATAGCATATGTCAAATATGTCATATATGTATTCATAAGTCTATATTTATATATACATTACGTATGTGTACAGATACACCGATAAACATGCATATCTACCTGCGTGGATATAAAGATATACCTATATATGTATAAACACACCTATATGATATATATGTATACATATACATCTACTACTACTAGTACTAGTACTGCTAACTATTATTTTCTTTGATTGAACAAAACCAAACAAGTGTTTTTTTTGTGTCTATCTGATTCCTCCCCGTGCTCGCTTCCATACTTTCATCAACTTACTTTAAGGAATTAAAAAAATGTTTTTGGATTGCGAAAACCAGTGCACAATTTTTACTGTTTTTTTCCACGGCTTTGGTGCCTCGGCAACGTTTTCACTTTACCTAAAGGAACGCGCGAAACGCATTTTTACATTACCGAAAACCGACAATCCGTGCAATCTATTACGGAAAGCTGTGAGCCAACAAAAAAAGCTTCAAAATGCTTGGGTTTTTGCTCTCAGAATTCTACGGTTGACATATTCCTATCGAAATCGTTAATTTTACGTTTTTTCGGTTGTCAAAAATTGGACGAAAAAGGCAGCGAGGCCAAAATCAAGCCAAAAAACCTAGGTATTTGCCTATGAAAATTAGCACGCGCGGAATTGCGGCAGGCAAAAAGGCAGCCCCGAAATGGACGTGTCACCGAGATCTGAGTGACGCCACCCAGTTCTGAGTGACGGTCACCAGGTTCTGAGTGACGCATAATATGGTTTTAATAGGGGCTTAATATGGCCATAATAAGGGCTTAATATGGCCATAAAAAGGGCTTAATATGGCCTTAATAAGGGCTTAATATGGCCTTGATAAGGGCTTAATATGGCCATAATAAGGGCTTAATATGGCCTTAATATGCCCATAATAAGGGCTTAATATGGCCATAATATGGGCTTAATATGGCCATAATAAGG